GTGTTCCAGAGTTTTTGGATCATTGTGTTTTCATTGTCATTTGTCTCTAGGTGTTTTTTATTTCCTCTGATTTCTTCAGTGGCCCGTTAGTTGTTTAGTGACATGTTGTTTAGCCTCCATGTGTCTGTTTTTTGTGCTTTTTTTTTTTTCTTTTAGTTGATTTCTAATCATTAGTGTTGTGGTCTGAGAAGATGCTTCATATGATGTCAGTTTTCTTAAATTTACCAAGATTTGCTTTGTGGCCCAGCATATGATCTATCCTGGAGAATATTCCCTGTGCACTTAAGAATAATGTGTATTCTGCTGCTTTTGGATGGGATGTCCTATAATTATCCATTAGTCCATCTGATCTAATTCATCATTTAAAGCCTGTTTTTCCATAATGATTTTCTATCTGTATGACCTGTCCACTGATGTAAAAAGCCCCCCACTATTATCATGTTACTGTCAATTTCTCCTTTTATGGCTTGCCTTATATATTGAGGTGCTCCTATGCTAGTTGCATAGATATTTATGATTGTTTTATCTTCTTAGATTGATCCCTTGATCATTATGTAGTGTCCTTTTTCTCTCACAATAGTCTTTATTTTAAAGTCTGTTTTGTCTGATATGAGTCTTGCTACTCCAGCTTCCTGGAGCTTGTTCTTGTCCCTCTGTTGGGTATGGCTTTGTTAGGGGGTGTGTTTAGAGTTGGCTGTGCATTTAGGACAGACTTTAGGCAGCCTGTCTGCTGATGAGTGGTGCCATGTTCCCACCCCGTTGGTTGTTTGGCTTGAGGGATCTCAGCACCATAGACTGCAGGCTGTTGGATGGGGTCAGGTCTGGGTGCCAAAATGGTGACCTACACGAGAGTTCACACTGATGTATGATCCCTGGGGCCTCTGCCACCAGTGTCTTTGCTCCCACGGTGAACCACAGTCAACCCTTGCCTCCCCAAAAGACCCTTTAACATCTGCAGGCATGTCTGGCGCAGGCTCCTGGGGAATCACTGCTTTGCCCTGTTCTAGTGCACATTAACTCTTGTGTGCACCGTCCAAGAGTGGAGTCTGTTTCCCCAGACCTGTGCGGCTCCTGCACTCAGGCCCTGCTGACCCTCAAAGCCAGATCCTCTGGGGAGTGCTCCCAGTGCCAGACCCCAGGCTGAGGAGCTTGATGGGAGGCTCAGAACCCACTCCTGTAGGAGAACCTCTGAAGTATAATGATCCTTCAGTTTGTGGGTTGTCGCATGTCAGTATGAGATTTATTATATTGTGAAAGCACCCCTTTTACCATCTCACTGTGGCTTCTTGTTTATCTTTGAATGTAGAATATCTTTTATTTTGTAGGTTCCAGTCTTTTTTGTCGATGGTCATTCAGCAGTTAGTTGTGATTTTGGTGTTTGTATGAGAGGTTGTGAGTGCAATTCCTTCTACTCTGCCATCTTGTCTCCTCCTGCGATGAATCTTTAATCTTTAATTTGTTTCCTTTTACATACTTCCCTCTGCCTTCTTAAAATACAGAATATAGTTTAAAACTTTTTGTATTCTTGTCTACTAATTATATCATCTGTATTATATCTGGGTTGATTTTTATTGATTTTTCTCCTCATTAGGGATGGGTCATCATTTCCTACTTTGATGCATGCCTGCTAATTTTAAATTGGATGCCAAACACTGTGATTTTTATGTTGATGAGTGCTGGGTATATTATTTCCATAGATATTCTTGAGCTTTGTTCTCTGACAGTGTGAATTTACTTGTAAACATTTTGAGCCTCTTAAGGCTTGCTTTTTAGTATTTTAAGATTGACCCAGAATAACCTTTGTTTTATTTTTATTTTTTTATTTACTTTTGGCTGTGCTGGTACTTTGTTGCTGCTCTGGCTTTTCTCTAGTTGTGGCAAGCAGGGTCTACTCTTCATTGCAGTTAGTGGGCTTCTCATTCTTGTTGCGGAGCACGGACTCTAGGACACGTGGTCTCAATAGTTGTGGTTCCCAGGCTCTAGAACACAAGCTCAGTAGTTGTGGCACACAGCCTTAGTTGCTCTGCAGCATGTGGGATCTTCCTGGACTAGGGATTGAACCTGTGTCTCCTGCATTGGCAGGTGGGTTCTTTACCACTGAGCCACCAAGGAAGCCCCCCAGAATAACCTTTAGATTAGGCATAATTTGGTTCCACTACTGAGACAATACTCTTCTGTCTGCTCTTATCTGATGCCTATGTATTATGATTTTATTTTCACTCTGGCTGGTGGGAACTGAAGTAAGCTCGGGGATTCTTTCCTTGGTTCTTTCCCTTGCCCAAGTAGTTTCTTCACATGTATGTGCTGATGAGTACTCAACTGAATACACAGGGAGGACCATTACGTATCTCTGGAGTGTGATATTTGCACATTTTTCTTCTCTTCAGTATTCTGCTCTGTAAATTGTAGCTGAATTGACCCACTTGAATTTCTAACCTCTTTTCAGCTCAGGGAGATTGCTGAACTCTAGCGGGGTTCTTCTGCTTACATCATAGCCTGGAAGGTAGCTTACATTGTTTGTTTCTATTTCCACAGGGATCACTGTCCTGTGTTATCTGTTACTTAATATTTTTAAACTATTGTTTCATATATTTCATCTCTTCTTTTTAGTTGTTTAAGGTGGAGAAGATAAATTCAGTCTGCTATTTCATTTTGGCTCATAGTAGAAGTTTTTTGGCGTTAACAATAAATAATAACATAAACAAATATATCAGGTAGCTAAAGTGCTGTGGAGAAACCTGAAGTGAGAAAGGGAGGTGAAGAGGATTGCAATTTTAAATTGAATGGTGAGAAGAGAGTTTGAGAAATTGGCTCTTTTGATTATATTTTGTGTACCCACACACTTAATGACTTTTGCTCATGGGTGTGCAATTTGGGCAAACCTGGACAGGGACAGCTTGTTCTGCTCTGCTTGGCATCAGTTGGGGCATCTGAAAGTCTGGGGGCTGGAATCATCTGAGTGCTTCCTCACATGTGTGGTGCTTGATGCTAGTTGCCAGATGGCATCTCGGTTGGGTGTGGTTAGAACATCTACACATGACCTTCTCATATGGCTGCTTGGCTCCTACACAGTGTGGTGGCCAGATTCCAAGGATGAGCATCTGAGGGAAAGCCAGGAAGAAGCTTTATTGCCTTTTCTAACCCAATCTTGAAAGTAATGTTATGTATCATAGAAAGTCACACAGGCTAGCCCATATTAAAAGGAACTGGAATTAGACTCCTAATCTTGCTGGGAGGCATGTCAAAGAGTTTGTGGACACCTGTTTAAACCACCACACATCACTTCTTGGCCTTTTGGCTAAGATCAAGTGTAAAGCCACCACAATAACAACCTGTGAAAAGAAGGTAAGGATATCTAAAGGAAGAGCATCACATGTACAGTGTACAGAAATACAAAGATTCTATGGCTAGTGGCTACCTGATGCCTTAGGTTTGTTTACTGCTGAATTCCCATGTGCAGTGTCAGCTCCTTGGAGGCGAGGGCTTGTATTCACTGCTATTTTCTCAGCACCTAGAATGGTGTTTGACAGATAGTTGTAGTTTAATTCTTATTTGTGGAAGAAATACTCAGCCTATTGGTGCCAGGTATCAAAAAATCATAAAAATGAATATGTAATCTTTGATATACTAATTTTTTCTTTAGGAAATAATCTTCAGAGAAAACTGTACAAATAAGCAGAGCTGTAGTGGAAATTTGAAAGTGTCTAAATGTCCATTAACAGAATAGTTAAATAAATTTTGATTGGACTGTATAATGGAACACTGCAGTTTTCAAACTCAGTGTTTTGGCCCAGAAAGATGAGTGAGTGTTGAGGGGAAAGGAGCAGAATTTAAATGATGGTGTTCAGAATGATTCTTTTGATTAATAATTTTTAATATGCACAGAATGGAGAGAATCTAATAGGATGTATATCATATTGTTAATAAGTGCTATAGGAGTTATTTTAGACTTGCTTGTCAAAAAATATGTACTACCATTATAGTAGAAACACATTTCTATTGTAAAAGAAAGTGATGTAAAATTTTTTAATTGATGTAGAATAGCATGTAAGCTACTGTGAATGCCCGACTCTTTGCGATCCCATGGACTGCAGCCTACCAGGCTCCTCTATCCATGGGATTTTCCAGGCAAGGATACTGGAGTGGTTTGCCATTTCTTTCTCCAGGACGATCTTCCCAACCCAGGGATTGAACTCGGGTCTCCTGCACTGCAGGCAGACTCTTTACCAACTGAGCTACCAGGGAAGCCCATGAATGATGAAAAGCACCTTTTAAAACAATATGTTGGTTTCCTTTTATTAATTAAAGATGGTGGAGAAAAAATTTATACAGAAAAAGTATGGAATGTTAAACCAAGATTTTTCAAGAGATTGTCTTGATTATAGGTTATCCTATAGATAACTGGTATAGACTTCCTTCCACTTATAAGTTCTGAATGTAATATACAGTGTGATGATTGTAGCTAACAATACTGTATTGTATAGTGGAAAATTGTTAAGATAATAGGACTTAAAAGTTCTCATCACATGGACAAAAAAATTGTAACTATTTTGAGATGATAGGTGTTAACTAAACTTATTGTAGTAATTAATCATTTTGGAATATATACATTTATTAAATCATTATGTTGTATACCTTAAAACTATTACAGTTACATGTTAATTATATCTCAATAAAACTAGGAAAATATGTGACTTAGAACATTTGATTTATATATAGTTCTGAAGCTACCACTCTTTGTTAAAATGTGGTTGTTTTCCATGTTAATATTATATTTATCACCATAACATAGGCTTTCAGTAACTTTCAAGAGTAATTGAGGCTTAAGATTAAAATTACAGATATAATTTATGCATAAAATCTTAGATGGTGTAATAATACTTTAATTCACACATATTTTGTTGTAAAAATGCCTTTAGGTTAATTGTTCTCATTTCACTGTCTTCTCTCTTTATTTGAAAGGAATGATTTGTAATTTATTTTGTTCTTATATATCATAGGATGTGTTTTGGAGATGCAGACAAAATATCTTTGATGAAATGAAGAAGAAATTTTTACAGGTAGACTGCTGATGTAATTGCTTTAGTGTGATAATCAGCAGAGCAAGTAACAGCATGTTAGTATTTTTGTTTAATAACAAGGCATGTCTTAAGTTTTATGGTTGTTTGCCTATTTTATTTCTCCCTGATTTCAATAATAAGTCACCTTAAATGAATATGTGTCTTATAGCACCTTGTCTTTAACAAATAAATGAGGTGGGAAAATGATGTAAAAACTTTAGAACCCTTTGTTTTGACTTTTGGGTAGAGTAGTTGTCTATTTTATACAGATATATATTTTCTGAAATATTAATAGCACTGAGATTAAGTCATTTAATAATTTACAGAGTCAAGACCCAGAAATCTTAACTTGAAAAATTAAATAGAAATTAAAAACAACCTGTATACACTGGAAACTTAAACATTTCTCTGATGTAGCATCCCATTCTAACCTTTACTTAATACATCATTTCACTCAGACCCCTTTATCTCTAGGCTCAAGGTTCTTTATTTAATTCTGTTCTCTCCAGGTGATCTGTGGCAGAGACCACTTAGAAAATACATTAGAGTTTGGTGGGGAGTTGGAATAAAATGGAGGGAGGATCTTAAAAATAATCTTTCTCTCGTGTAAGTTAAGACTCCCAGCACTACCCCAGGAATTGTTACTTGTTAGAAATGGACAATCTGAATGCAGCTGATAAATTTAATAAGTTTCAGTCAGCAAAAATATTTACACCGTCAGTTGTTTTTTCCAGTTTGTGGCAGTGTATTAACCATGAACTGTGGATACCCAGAAGGGTAATTTTCTAAGGCCTCATTTCTTAGTTCATAGCAGTTTCTTTATCAAGAAGTAGATAAAATGGCCTGTGTGTGTGTGTGTGAGGGGATGTATTTTTAAGTTTATAACCATAATATTATCATTTATAATAACATTGGAAAGAAGAAAGTCTTGAGAGAAAATGGGTTGACAGATTTAGAGGTGAAGAGGTCCTTTCTTAAGGTTTTAAAATTCTTCATAAATTAGTTTTTTTCTTAGAAAAATCTTAATCTTGATAACTTTGAATTTTGTTTGATATTAACTTTTCTGCGTGTGAACACCGTTTTAAATATATGCATTAACTATGCACCTTGTTTTGTGTTTTTTAGTAAGAAATACCTAGGATTTTTTTTTTTATGAAACAAAAGTTATATTAACTTTTGAGATATTAACTTCAGAGAACCCAGATTTGAACTTGGAACTGTTCAGAATGCCAAGAGTAGGAGATAAGATGACTTGAGAGGCACGCATCCCTTTAGCAGACTCAGACTTCTCAGGCAGAAGGACCATCTGTGTCAGCCACTTTCAGATGTTCTGACAGTGAGCTTATCTTTGGACGGACCATATACTTGCAGTGTTTCTATCCCAGTATATTTTACATTATGTAAATAAGACTTATCATTTTTGTTTGTCTTTTTTCAAGGATTCTTTTTTTCAGGCTTTGCTAGGAAATCTGTTTCTACAGAGAGCATAAAGACAGATCACTCTCTTAGCTTACAGTGTTAATATAACTACTGTTGACTGTCCCCTTTTTCTCACAAATGTATTACTGTGAGTTGCCCACAAAGTAAGTAGTCTTAATTTTATACTTTGTACCTTCTTTTTGTAATTGACTAGATTTTCTTTATAGAGAATTTTATGCCTCTCTAATAGCTCACTAAATATAGATGAAATATTTTCTCAAGTGGGACGTACTTTAGGCTTTTCTAAAACTTTGCATTTTTTTTTCTTAACTATTGTCTCTTACTCATTATAGAACTTTCACTAACTTGAAAATTGTGCTCCTTTCCCTAAATTAAGACGTGTGTTCAGATGCTTTGCCTTAATGTTGGGTGTAGTATTTAAGTGGACACCCTCCCCACTACCAGCCACCGTCACTAATGCTATCACATATATTTCCCAACCAGCGCTTGCATGTGCTTGAATGTATTTCTGTTATCTATTACTATGGAACAGTCTACCCCAGAACTTTATGGCTTAAAACAGCTAGTTTATTTGTTCACAATTCTCTGGGATGGGATTTGGGCAAAGGCTTAACCAGTCAGTTTTCCGCTCTACATAGCATTATCTGGGATCATTACTTGGCTGCATTTGGCTGGTGACTAGCTTTGGATGGAATGTCCAAGAAGGCTTTTCTTACTGAGCAGGCACCCCAGTGCTCCACTAAGTGGCCATTTTCTGTGTGGTGGTCCCGGGGTAAATGAATTTTTTTTGTTTGGCTGACTTATAAGAGGAACATTCTAAGAGATCCAGAAGCAGACGCTTCCTGCTGTAAATCACACAGAATCACTTCTGTCACATTCTGTTGGTCCTACTTGGTCACAAGGCCAGCCCAGATTCATTGGAAGAGGAAAAAGAAAAAGAATAGCAAAGAATTTGTAGCCATCTTTAATTCACCTCAAGATGGTGGTGTTTTTTGCTTTGGGCATAAGCAGGATCAGTCAGGGGTAGAGCTCCAAGGAAATTAAGAAAAAAAGAGGACACCCCTATTTTCCTAATTCTAGGAAATACTTTTTTACATGTTAAGTATTTTGGAAATTTGTATGTTTAGTATAATACTGTAGAGTTTTTTTTTTTAATCCCTCTTGGAAAGCTTAAGATTGGTACACCTTATTGATGAAACCTTAAAATTGGGAAAAAGATTTTTTTTTCTTATTAGTTCCTAAATTGGGAGGAAAGAGGAGGAGAGTGATTTTGCTTCAGTGTAATTAGTGTTGGCATTCATGGTCACAAAAATTCACATGTAATCCGTGGATGATAGCCATATAAGTAGATTAAGTTCAGTCTGAAAAATGGGCCAGGAGGTTGAGTATAAAATAAAGTAATAGAATTTACTTGTAGCTATCTTAGAACTTTAAAGAAATCCAAAGCTTGTTTAAAATATCATAGAATTAAATTTAAGAGCAATATGTTTGACCCAGAAATTCTTACAGCTTAAGGAAACAGAAAAATGTACAAAATTTTATATAGGTATTCATCACAAAATTATTCTAGAATATAAAAAAAGTCTAGCTTAAGAGTCAGTAAAATAAAATTGATGGAACAAATTATTATTAATCCATGTAATAAAATACTATTCAATTGTTAAAATGATGAGTTAGAAAAAACTTGACAAGAAAAGATTACTTTATATGTATGTAAGTAAAGAAAGACATTTCGAAACAGCATATATATTCCATCTGAACATTGGAGTTTTAAAAGCATGCATGTATATATCTGTTTGTGTATGTGTAGGAAAAATATTTGGAAGAATATAGACCAAAATGTTCACAGTTACCTGTGTTATGAATTACAGTTAATTTTCACTTTTTCCTTTGTTCTCTTCCTATTTTTTTTAAAGGAACAAAAATTCTTAACATGCAGTACACAGAAAAAAAAGTTGTTGTTATTAAAAAGAATAAAAGGCATACATAAAATTAGCTTTTGTGTTTACTACAGTACATTTAGCCTTCAGATGAGATTCCACTGGGGCTAATTTTACCAACATCTGGATGTGGGAGAGGAGGCTGGAGTGCCTGTACCTTGTACTCACTTATTTAGGGAAAGAACCAGGAATTGCTGATGGCCATATGATGATGTCATATCACCATTCTTAGGTATACTGCTATGCCAGTGCTTCTGATTCCTAAATTCTTAGGTAGGGTTCTCTTCCTTGAACCCTCAACTCAGACTTATCTGAAGCTTTAAAATCTGGCCACGATAGTGCTTTTCACCTGGAATACTTGAGTCTACCTCTGAAGCTGTAAAAGCAGATCTTTTGTAGTTGAAATTTATTTTGAGTTTCTCCTTCCTTTATTGTAAACCAGAGTTTAAAAAGGGCCCATTTTATATTTATCAGTTTGACATTAAAATGTATAAAACCATCTTTTGCAAGTGTTAATATAACATCCTAAGTTTTCAACTGAAGACTTTTTTATTACCCTGTTTATTTAATTAAAAATGTATTTTTCTTTGTTTTTAAATGGGTATTATTGGTAGTTAAATATCTTGATTTGTGTGAATATAATTCTAGCCAATCTTAAACAATATACTTCTTTTATGGCAACTTATTTCTGTTCTAAACTATCTGGATTAACCTTAGTTTAAGTAATCTTTTACAAATCCCAAATTGTATTGATATATGGCAGAAACTAATTACCATTATATTACCTCACCAAACAAAAACTGGCTGTTCTGTCTACAGTACTCATCAGTGATAATAAGTATTCTTATTTTAAAATGGATAATATAGAAGCAGCAGAAGACGGAGGTTGATATTATTGTGGTTGGTTTTTTTTTTTTTTAGAAGGAAAGAAATACATTGTATACAGTACTGGTTCCTACAGTTCATATTTGTGCAAAAGCCTTTTGTGGGGATGGTGAGAGGAAATGACTGCCTTACTAGATTTTGAGGGAAAGGAAGAAATTTACATGATCAGATTTGCATATTAAAATGCTGTTCTGGATTGAAGGAAGATAAGAGTGAGAGAAACTATTGCCACTAATTGTAACTATTGATACTATCTTAATGTAAGATTCTGATTACTGCAGGCAGGAATAAAGGGGAAAGGAATAGTTCAAGAGATATTCAGATGGTAGAAATGATAGAATTTGGTAATTATGCGAGGTGAAGAAGAGGGAAGAAATGAAGAATATGCTTACCTGTCTGGTTTCAGCAGTCTGTAGATGATGGTACCATTCACTGAGTTGGGCATTACAGGAGGAGGGAAAGAACTTACTTCACTGCAGTGTCTGATGTAGCCAGCTATCCCTGTGGAAATAGGACGAAAGTGTCCTTCAACAGCTTGAGGGAGTGCATAGCTTCCTTGAGAAAATCTTTTTCAAAATTTTTCTGCTCAGATTTGCGGGCTAGATGAAAAAGAATGAAAACAATTTGTGGTCCTAACTCCTTGTACATTGGTAATAGAAAAGCATTTTTTCCTGGCTCACCTTTACCCCTCTGCTGGCTAGTCTGCTTGTTAGCTCCTAACATGCTGATAAATGGGGTTTTTGGACATTGGTTCTTCGGGTGTGACAAGGACAGCATAAAGATCAGTATGCCTGATTGCTTATTTCCTTTAGTTATGGATTTTGCGGTCTGAGATAATCCTTATTGCATTTCTATACAGTTCCCTTTCTGTTTCATCAGGAAACCCAGAAATGCTAGATATAACTGTGCTAGCATAGTACTGACACATTTTTAAGGATCAGATGTTGTTGTTTTCAACTGAAAATTGCTCAGGTAAACTGTCTTCATGGGCTTGTTGGTCATTGATTTGCAGCCTTAAAAGATGAAACCAAATATCCATAAGAACAATGGCTTATTCTTATGTATGCCCCAATTTTCCCAAAACAAACATACATGGTGCTTTATATGTTTGACATATCCAGTGGAGTGTGTTTCAGACATAAAACAGTAATATTCACACAAAGAAAATAGTATTTTGTGTTGTTTTGCATTTAATAGTAGAAAACAATAATTATATTTTTTCTTTAAAGAGAAATAATATATTTTTTAAAATTTCAGATAGAAAATGCTGCTGAAGAACCAAGAGTCTTATGTATAATACAAGATACTACTAATTCAAAGACGGTGAATGAACGGATCACTTTAAATTTACCAGCTTCTACTCCACTCAGAAAGCTCTTTGAAGATGTGGCCAACAAAGTAGGCTACATAAATGGAACCTTTGATTTGGTGTGGGGAAATGGAATCAATACTGCTGATATGGTAAAACTCTAAACTGAAAGCATCTTTTCTTGAGCTGCTAATAATATTATAGTTGCTGTTATTATTAATGAGTATATTAAATCCTGGAACCCTTCTTGATATCATAAGCAAAACTCTAGAGTGTATGTGCAACTCATCCCTTTACCTTCATTTGGAATTCAGCATTTGATTATCTGCACAATGTTATTTCATTAGTTTTTTTATTTATGTAAGTTGATTATCACAAGCCTGTGTCATCTATGGAAAAATTTCCAACATTTACTGAATGGGATAATCCTCATTTTAAATATTTAAGTGAGAAAAGCAGGATATAAAATCATATGTATTTTATAATCCAACTTTTTGAAAAGGAGAAAAAAATGTAATATATAGAAAGAAAAAGGAATAAAAGGACTTGGATCTGCAATATTAACAGAGATTATGTACCACATAGAGTGATGAAACACCTGGTCAGGAAAGTTGGTGGCACCATGACTTCTGCTTCAGAGATCTCACAGTAAAGTTGTAGAGACAAGTACATAAAAAACAATTGCGTTAACGTGTTTTAAGTATTATTAAGTGTTATTTATGAGTTTGCTCTAAGTGCAAAGAGGAGGCACTGATCAGTTTTGCATGGGACAGTAGCAAGAAGACGTTGAGTTGGATCTCATCTGTATTTTAGGATAGTGTTCCTTATAGTCTTTTTTTTGCCCCCTGACTCTCAGTCCAAATTCACCCTGTGTACGATTGTTAGAATTATCTTCAGTCATCTTAAATCATAGTACTCCTGTCACCTTCCAGTTTAGAAATCTTTAATGACTGCTCACTGCCCACAGATTAAAAATCATATTCCCTAGGTTAGCATTCAAGACAATTGGTCCTTTAAGTCTAATCTTAACTCGCAGATAGGACTAATTTATTTTCTTAACATAGAATTTTATACTTCTCCATCTCCGTGTTTTTGCTTATGTTAATCTCTTCCTGTCCTATACCATTGTTGCTCTTCAGTTTCCCAGGAAAATAGCTTTAATAGCAAATGAAGTTGAATGTGTATCTTCATCCTATTTGGAGAGTATGGTCTTAATTGGCTCTATAGAAGAATAAGAGGTGTAGGATATTGCTGGATTTGCCTTTAAAATTGATGATATTTTGCCTTCTGTTTCATAATGTATTTGTTGTTTTTTTTTTTAATATAGAACTAGTGTTTTTAAATGGTAAAAGAATCTGAAAAAAATAATAGCCATATATGCATAACTGGATCACTTTGCTCTATGCCTGAAACTTAACACATTGTATATCAGTTATACTCCAATGTAAAATAAAATTGGTTTTCAATATGTACTTACAAAAAACCCCTAGTGTTTTAAATTAGCCAACTTTTCCCCCTGTGAAACTGGTCAGTAATATTGGTAGTCCCCAACAGGTTAAACGATGAGAAATGATATTTAATCTGAAACTTTGAATACTCTGTTTTACATTACTATGTAACTTCTAGTGTTGCCTCTTTTTCAACTTAAAGGAGTCCTATACTACCATATATGTTTGCCTAAGTCCAGTTTATCTTTTACTTTGAGGAAACTTGATGTTTCCTCATGCCACTTTAAAAATAATCTTTGTCTTTGTCCTCTTATTGTGCTTTTTCTTCTACTATGCCACGCATATAGTCTTTTTATTATAATTGTTATTCATTTATGTCTCTCCCCTTGACAGAATGTATTTTGATGACTGGGACCTTAGTATTAGTTTGTATCCTCCAAAGATACTATCCCTAGGCACTCAAAAAGTGTTTGTTAAATTAACATTTGCAGTAGTTTCAAATAGCACTGTGCCAGGATTAACTATTTTTCTTTCATCAACTGTGATTGTTTTTAAGTACTTAATTTTTGTGTTTTAATTTGCCTACTGGGCATTTCTACAAGTAAACTCTTACCTTACTGTACAATGCTGCATGTATGCTTCTCTACAAATCTAATTCATTTATCTACTCACCCTTTTATACACACAGACACTTATTTATTAAGGAAAACCCTCTCTCCCCATGTGTTCTAGCTATATCATCTCATCTTTTATGCCTGAGAGATGCTGAGCGTTCTGGTTCCTGTCAGAATTAAGGGAACCAAAGCTACCTTTCTTTCTTTCTTTTCTTTTTCTTTTCCTTTTCTTTTCTTTCTTGCTTGTGACTTCTCTTAGCTTCTGGTTCTCTGTATCCTATTTTTCTCATGAATTTCTACATGTGAGCCAAAGTTAACTGAGTTTTGATAAATTTATTTTATTACTTAACACTTACTTTGTGCTTACTATGTGCCTAGTTTTGTTCTGAAACTAGACTTTATACAAATGTAACCTTATTTAATTCTTTTAACCACCCTATGAGGTAAGTGCTATCACAGCTTTGTACGAAGGGTGAGGAAACTGAGTCATGGGGAAGTGAAGTAACTTGTACCAAGTCACACAAATAGCAAAGTGGCAGAATCTCTTAGAATTAATTTTTTTGTCCTTAATACCTATACTTTTATATAATGTTAATTTTCTAAGAAATAAAGGCATCTCCATGAAATAAAGCCTTCTAAAGAGATAATCCTCATGTCTTTGAAACATTAAAAACATCTCTTAATGAACAAAATAGTTTTTTAAAAATTGGTGTATAATTGCTTTACAATTTTTGTTGTATTCTGCCCTACAACAATGTGAGCCAGTCATAATTATATTAATGTATATATCCTTTCCCTCCTGAGTTGCCCTCTTCTCCCCACCCCACCCCTCTAGGTCATCAGAGAGTAACAGGCTGGGCTCCTTGTGTTATTTAGCAACTCCCCACTGTCTGTCTATTAACATTTAACACATGATAGGTATACATATCAATGCTACTTTCTCAATTTGTCCCACCCTCACCTTCCCCCATTGTGTCCACAAGTCCGATCTCTACCAGGTTCACAAAATAGTTTTAAAACAAGGGTAGGGCATTCATTCTATCCTTCATTTTTCTCAGTGGTAGACTGGAGTGTTGGATTAGTAGGGCTTGGGGCATAACAGAGTTCTAACTCTGATCTACTAACTAGAGTGTATCAGAATGACAGCTAGCATTTAAATTGCCCTACCAGATAAAAGATGTAAAGAATAAACATGTTAGATGTTTATTTTTCAAAGACTGATCACTTCTATCTCCCTGGGATCCTCTGAATCCTGGCCGTAGACTTGAAGTAGGTATCATTTATTAGGACAGGCTTTTCCTTCATTTCTAAGAGTGCCTTTTTTTAATATTATGTGATTATATAAGGTGGATTGCTTGTGCATAGCGGTTCCTTATATGGGAATTCTTACTATATTCTTATATCAAAACATGTTTTAGTTATATAAAATATTCTTTAGTTTTCATGAAAACCCATTGACTACTATATTGCATACATTTTAGAGAACATCAAAACACAAATGCTTATAATTCTTTTTTGTGTGTGGTACTTCAGTCTTTTTAGATGTTGGGAAATGTGAACAGGTGGGATACCAGTTAGTATATACCCTGTCACTGGGCTTAGCCATCCCAGTTCATGAATAGATGAGTTAATTCAAACCTAGATTGACAGAATTTATCAGAATCTTCATTTTTAAAAAATATTGCTTAAGCCCAATAATTGTAGATATGCATCTATTTACATATTACTTATTTTATTATCATTAATGTTTCTCATTGTCTGAGTTGTTTTTTATTTTTTTTAATACTTGTAGGCTCCACTGGATCATACCAGTGATAAGTCTCTTCTTGATGCTAATTTTGAGCCAGGAAAGAAGAACTTCCTGCATTTGACAGATAAAGATGGTGAACAGCCTCAGATACTGCTGGTAAACTACTTAGAAAGCCCTGTATTCATAATTTTTGTGCACTGTCACCTACTATTTGTGAAGCGGTTTTCCAAAGGAGAGAGATGTGTTTTACATAACTTATGTATAATAAATAATTTTTCTGTTTTCTATTGGTTTGTTGTAAATATGTATGTTAACATGGTTGCACTGGGTATCCATAGCACCTTTGTTTGTGTACAGTCTCTTGCCACACTGAGAATCACCACTACAAGGATGGGGATGGGTCTAGGATCTCTTACTGCATTTCAGTGGCCTTTTCTTTGGTTAAGCATTTGCTTGTCTGCTGTAAATTTTGGCAGTTTTGCCAGGTTTTCTGGTATTTTGGTAGAGAAACAGACCCCCAGAATTAGCTACTCTGTTGTTTGTGACCCCACTCCTGCCCCTCCCCTCCTTTTTAGAATGGCTAGTTTGTAAAGTTATATGATTTATTTCTGTTCTCTTAGTGCTTGCTGCAATTCATATTTCAATAGGATTTCCTGTCCAGTTCAGTGGCTTTAGTGATCATTGAATCTAGTTAACTCCTAATTTGAGAGGCATTCACTGAAAAAACCTGGTCTGATTTAACTTCCTGCTTTACAGACTTAGTAAACTAAGACTCACAGAGTTTATGGACTTTTTTAGAACCCTTCTCTTTAATGAAACTTTCCTCAGGAAAAGTTCTTCTGTTTCATGCTTTTCATTTAGGAGTCAGTTGTGAGTTAGAGTACCTTTCTGGATAGTAGACAGTAATTAAACATAGGGCATCGATTTCAAAGCAATACCAGAAAATGTTCTGACCTACCTTAATCTCACTGTTGATCTTTATGACATCATGAGAAGATTTAGATTAGTCTGAGTAATGTTGAAACTAAACTAGCTATTAATTTGGGGGTTCTTGTTTTAAAATTCTTACTAATTACTCTTCAAGTCTGTCTTAGTTGCTTGTGCTGATTTTATATCCTTTATTCCCTTTGCACATTTTCCTCATTGATAGGAAGTTTGTTATTGGAGATAATAGGAACCTTTCCATTTCATTCAGTACTTATTGAGTATTCCCTACCTTCCAGGCCTACTTAGCAAGGATAATAGAAAAATAAATGATAAACACTGTCATCAAGGAGTTCATAACTGTACTTTGGATTGACTAGTAAGATATCTCTCTCATTTAAGCAAAATTGAAAAAGAATTAAAGAAACTTGAGAAAGTAAAAGCTTTGGAAGGAGACATAAGCATTTCTCTAAAGTGTTTTATATTGGGCATGTTTCAGACCTTCCTGTAGGAAATAGTCAGGGAATATCTTGATGGTGCTAGTAATGCCTTGTCTTTTTTTCATTGCCTCAGGAATTAGTATGCTTTTTTACATTGTTTTAGCAGTATTTACCACTCAGTAAATATTTGTTATGCTATATTTTAGGAGGATTCCAGTGCTGGGGATGACAGTGTTCATGACAAATTTATTGGTCCACTTCCAAGAGAAGGTTCTGTGGGCTCTACCAGTGATTATGTCAGCCAAAGCTACTCCTATTCATCTATTTTGAATAAATCAGAAACTGGTAAGATTTATGATTGTTGTATTTTCCTAAAATCATAGGGCATTAAACCTAGAATAATCTTAGCACTCTAAACCTAATCTTCTCATTTTATGGATTAGAAAACTCAGACCCAAAACAAGATCACTAGTGAGCAGAAGCAACGTTAGAACAAGAATGGGTTCCCTTTCCCTCATCTCATTGTTACCTTTCTTGTTACTGCTACTGTTTAGTAAAAAAAAAAAAATGGATTTTGAAAGAAGTCATTTCTTTTTGATAATTTTTTATCTTGAATTTAATCTTAAGTTTTTGAAGTTTACTTTCTCTGGAAAGGAATGTGTAATATCTGTCTGTGTGGATTACAGTAGATTTACGGAGATAACTTTCATGTGGAAACAAATGGGTCAGGCTTATTTTATTAGAACTACTGTGTTATGTTCTGCTTTAATCTAATCATATGTTTGACATTAATCATGTAATTTAAAAATTCCTGCTAGCTTGTCTCTGAATATGTTATGTTTAAAACTAACAAATTTTTAAATTTTTTTCAATTTTTTGAGCTAGTAGAGTTGCTTTATTTATGCAATTTTTTATTTATATATGACTGGTTAATTGCCTGAAAATGTAATCTGAATCACTTTACATATCATTTTGCTTTTGATTGTACAGCTAGCTAATGTTATTTCATGCTAGGTATGGCTTCAGAGTGTTTACTCTTAGAACTTCAAAACAGAGATGATTGTAAATATAACACATAATATCTAGTATAAGGGCTTCCCTGGTGGCTCAGCTGGTAAAGAATCCGCCTGCAATACAGAAGACCTAGGTTCGATCCCTGGGTTGGGAAGGGAATGACTACCCACTCCAGTATTCTGGCCTGAAGGATTCCAAGGACTGTATAGTCCATGGGGTCGCAAAGAGTCGGACACGACTGAGTGACTTTCACTTTTACTTTCATCTAGTATAAAAAGAGAACTATATAATTACATTGTAGGTTTTGTTTTAATGTGTTCTGTAGTCTTCCACTTACTATATTTTGTAATTGAAATATAGAATAATTTCCTCACAGCTAAGCATTTGTACAGGTTTAATGGCATATTTGTTCTGGAAATAGTCAAAACTGGTTGGGTTTGGTATTTATGGTCAATTTATATAAGTAGAACTTTTAGCAGCAAACTACCAAGAATAGAAGAGAATGCAAAATTATCTTTTCAGATAATAGCAAATAAGAAAGCTGCTTCTCATTACACTGTCAACAGTAGTGATTCTCAAAATTTTATTTCTTTAAAAATCATTTTGGGATACTTGTTAAAAATGTAGGTTCTGAGGCATTACTCCCAAAATACTGATTTAGTTACTCTTGAGTAGACTGGATAAATTGCATTTTGTTTTAAATAAATACCCTTAGATTTTTATAAGATAGTTGAAATACTTTGAGAAGGTTCCAGATTTAACAAGTCAGGATTCTTGAAATTTTTGCTATGTATTCTGACAACCATCTCAGTCCTTATGCAAGAAGTATTTACAGAACTCCTACTTTGTACTGAATAATGTATAGCTCTCTGATGCCTGTAAATATACTTTAAAAAAAAAGTTCTCTGATTGTTTGAATATAATAAATGTTCATTGTCATATTGTAAATGAAAGTGGAAATTTCTGACAGTACAATTAACAGAAACTACTTTAATGATTTTGCATATTTTTGTCTTCTCTTTCCTTCATCTGAATGCTTTCAAGAAAATGAGGAAATTGTTATGAGAAGAGTTTTAATCTATGTTTTTCATGTAATGTATGAGGGGCATTTTTCAGTATTATTAAGTAGTATTTTAGTATGGATTTTAAATGGTTAAAAAGTAGTGTTTCATTATATGATGTAGATATTTAAACTATAATTATTCCTGATGTTATAATGAACATTATTGTAAGTTTTTATTTTCATGTTTGATTATTTCCTTAGGGTAAGTTTCTAGAAATTGAATTACTCAGTTGAAATTTACTAAACATATTTTTATAGGACTTTGATATACATTGCCATGTAATCATAGTCTTCATTTCCAACTATTGTTCCTCACACAGTTCTATTCCACTCTTTTCCCTACTTGTACATTGTCCTTCAGTGTTCTGGAGTACTCCCTTTCTGAATTAAAACAGTCTGTATACATCCAAACGAATTGGTGTTCAAAAACTGTTTGTTAGTGACTATTGAATTGGCATTTTGCTTAAGAATTTATTGAAATGCACAAAATATTTTCATTGAAAAATGCTTTCATGATTTCCACTCAAAACTGCAGGAACACTTCTCTCCATATTCGGTGAGGTTGGGGACTTACTCTTTTCTGTCTCCTTGCCTAATTCCTTCTGGTGGCCAATTACTGTTAATGGGAGATGGTTGGAAGTGGGGGGCACTTAAAAAATTAAGGAGTGGATTGAAGGTGGATTGGACTTGCAGGTGATTAAAAGCCACATGACTGAAGTGTTCTATCATTTAAATCTGAGATATCTTTCCTTGGCCAGTTTCTTTAACAATTCTTTCTTTATATTTGCTTTGAGTTGCCCAGTTTCATTCTGCTTCATTCAGCCTCGTAGAGTTCTCCTTCGTTTCTTACTGGTTCTCTTCAGGATTTCTTTCTGTGTTTGCTTTGTGTTATTTTTTTATACAGAATGGCATATGTTCTTATGTTTTCTTCCCTTATTGACTTATGATATTGACTCATGACTATTTCAGATAGAGGGCCCACTTGATAATAGTTCCCATTTGAAATTTTTTGATTTAGACAATTTATAATGACAGAAGATTCCTATTAGTTCTGTAGCATTGTTATCTTTTTAATCTCACTAAAACCTTCATATTTTTAGAAAATAATAGTACTTTTATTTGACACACTGGTCGTTCTGTTAAATATGGTGCTAAATGAAGTACAAAAGACTATATATTTCTATTTGATTGTTATTGCTAGTGATAAAATAAAGAGCAGTGGAAAAATTGTTATTACTCCCTCCTTCCCTTAAACCCCTCCCCCTGCCACTCTTTTTTAAGCCCAGGGAAGGGAAACAAGTTCACAAATAAATGGTGTATGATTGATCTTAGGGTACACAAAAGACAGTAGTACCTTGATAATACCTTGCCTTTTAAGGCTACGGGTAGAATGGTTGTCCCTGACTATTGAGGAATTGGGGAAGGAGGTGGAAAAGAAGAAATCCCAGGCAGCTGATCAGGTGCTGAACAACTGTGTCTCCTTGCTCCAGGTGCTGTTGTTTGTGGGAAAGAATCCATTATCAGTTCAAGTAGCTTATAGATTTATGTTGCTTGTAAGTCATATTCACTTCTCCCTCATGGGTACCTGCTGCTGTGCTAAGTAGTAGGATAGAGAGATAAATTAGATTTGACCCCTCCCCTCACTGTTGGGGACTTATACAAATAAATAAACAATTATAGAACAGTGAATTAAAAGCTCTAAAAAGGATTAAGGACAGTATGCTGTAAGAACAACTCAGGTGGTGCGTGTTGATTAGGAATTGAAGCAGTTTATAATGATATAACAATGTAGAGTAAATATATAGACATGTGTTCACAATATTCTTAAAGATGAAGGCATTAGAAATCAAAGCTTGAACCTTAGTCCCGAGTAAAAGATAGGCAACTACTTGGTCCCTTCTTAGAATTGTACAAGTGCAGGTAGTGTGGAATCTGTTCCTCTTTTCCACAACTGAACCAAAGTTCATGCTGCATTTATTGATCTTTTTCATCATCTTAGTTAGCAGTATCGTTTGTCTACAAAGTTTGCCACTATCTTACTAACAAAAGATATTTTTGTTAATTCTTGGAAAATTGAAAAATGTATTTCAGAGAGCTTCAGTGAATGCCTTTGGCATGTATTGAGAAAAGATTTGTTTTTTTGAGATAACTAAGTTTTTCAGTATAAAGTGGGAGTAAATAAATTTAATTATTAAGCAATGTGTTTACCGTATTTTACTCACATAATGAGGTATAATAAAATGATGAGGCTGATAAGTTTGTGTGTGTGTGTATGCGTACCTCATAAACTGAGCCTGAAGCCTACTTCAAAGGAGAAGTTCCAAAAATATTCTCAACAGTGGTAACCATTTCTAATTAGGTATATAAAGTTAAGTACTTAAATAGTTCATTTGAATTTTGAACGCATCTAAGTTACTCCTTTCCTTTTCCCTTTCTCTCAAATCTCCTCTTCTTCCATCTCTGAGTTCTCTTCTTACTTTAATCGTCACTCTCTGCATGGCGTGCTGATCTATGGGTTTCATACTTCATGGGTGTGTACAACAGTGGAAGTCCTCTGAGTTTGTATACAGTGAATTTATCTTATGTTATTGATTATTGGTAGAAATTGGTTTATTGGACCTGGTGAACTGGTTCAGTACTGTCTTCATATTTTGGGTGTATATGATGTTTAAAGTGAATATGTATATACTTTTTCCATTTTAATGCACAGCTTTTAGATTTGGGGAACAAAGATTATTTTTGTCACAAAATACTATATTAAATGCTATGTAATATCTATGTGTATCTCTAGACATATAACAGCATGTCCAGAGATTCTGACTTTTTCTGAGAGATAAAGTTTACATAGTGCATATATTGACCAAAGATGTCTTTCTTAGGTATTATTGAAAAAAATTGAAATAATTTCCAATTATAACCTTAATCTCTTAATTTTTACTGTGTATTAAATTCTTGTTAAGTTTTCTTTTTGTTAATTTTTTTACATAAATGCTGATTTATATTTGTGTATTTCTTTTTTTAAGGGTATGTCGGATTAGTAAACCAAGCAATGACTTGCTATTTGAATAGCCTTTTGCAAACACTTTTTATGACTCCTGAATTTAGGAATGCATTATATAAGTGAGTATTCAAAAAAATTCTATCTATCAATAAAATTGATTTAAGAATGAAATACAACTTCTAATTAATTAAATCTGTTTACCTTCTTTCACTTATTTGTTAAGTTTGGGGCATTTCTCACTTCTTAAAACATACCTTGAATAGTAAATAAGAAAATGATTTTTATATTATCTAAGGTGAAACAGATCACCAGCCCAGGTTGGATGCATGAGACAAGTGCTCAGAGCTGGTGCTCTGGGAAGACCCAGAGGGATCGGGTGGAGAGGGAGGTGGAAGGGGGGATCGGGATGGGGAATACATGTAAATCCATGGCTGATTCATGTCAATGTATGGCAAAAACCACTACAATATTGTAATTAGCCTCCAACTAATAAAAATAAATGGAAAAAAAAGAAAATGATTTTATGAGAGGCAGGCATATGAAAAATTTGGGGGGAGAGAGAATCAGAAATGTATAGACAGCAACAGGATAAAATTGATAAGATTTATGTTTAAGATAAATTATTATATTTAAGCTTCCCTTGCTTTTAGCTTTCATGCCTTTATGAAGAAGTATGTTATCTACTTTTGGAGATAATCTGAATTTGTAACCCATATTCTTTTTTTCCTCCACATCTCAATTTAAGAAACAAAGTTGCCTTTTTAAACTTGCACATATTGTTTTTAATTAAAATAAAATGCAACTGTTCTGTGTTTTATGTGTGTGTGTATATAAGACTGTATATACATTTGTATATATCCATATTTAAATAAACCCTAAAGTCAGACATTTGTTTTTATGAGTATCTTATTATAATACATTTAATACAGTTTGTATATTTCTTTACAGTATCCATAACTTTTATTTTTTGACATTTTAAAGTACAGATAAACTGATTTTTTTCCTCCTTTTTGTGTTACTTTTGAGAAACACCTTTGTAATTACTGTAAATATTTACAGTCATAAAGTACTAAATAAACACCATATCTAAAGTACTTTTGGAACTTTTGATATTACAAACAACATTATATTACCATTAAATGCATATGTAAGCTCACCATCTGAATTTACTTGAAAAAGTTGACATGTTTTTCATTCAGCAAGTATTTGTTACCCAGTGTTTATATGTGGGTACTTGATAAAGTTAGAAATAAGGTCTTTGTTCTTAAGTAATTCACAGGTCTCTTCACAGTAGCAATATGTGAATTTTTTAAAGTAGTTGAAATAACATTTAAGGATGGCTTAATGCCCTGAGAGTTTAGAGAGAAGAGAGATTAACGAAACTTGGAGAAGTGGCTAATTTAGCAGAGCAAGTAGAACTTGAGGTAGTCACGAAGATAGGTATGGTTTGGCCAGGTAGAGAAGATTAAGAGGACATTATAGACAGGAGGACTTTCAGGAGCAAAATGAGTAAGTTCATCATGTAGAGCTAAAGAAGGGATGGCTCCATTAAAAGGCTGGACTTTGCTGGACTACAGACAGGGTAGCACTAGCATGAAAGATAGGGTTCCGTTTGCTTATTCTCTTCACGTGCTATATAGCAGCCGGAAAGAACCTACCACTTACGTATGTAGGCATGAATTAGGAAAAATTTCCAACATACTAAAATAAAAATAGTAAAATGGTATAATGAATTCCTCTGTACCCATCACCCAACTTTGGATATTATCAACTCATGATCAGTCTTTTTTGTCTATAATCCCCCATTCTGATTATTTGGAAGCACATACCTAATCATATCATCTGTAAATTACATCTTAGGTCACTGCTAAAATTTCCCTGATTGCTTCATAATTTCTTTTTTAAACAGTTCAAATCAGGATCCAGATAAGATCTGTGCATTGAAATTGACAAAACTTTTAACCTACTTAATCTATTTTTGATCCCCTTTGATCTTTTTCCACGTTGCAATTTATTCCTTGGAAATATATATGTGTGTCAAAAACTGATGGCATTTGTCCTGTAATTTTCCACAGTTTGGATTTTGATGGTCAAATGCCAGTGTCATTTAATATTTTGTTACCTCTATTTTTTGTGAGTTAATAATTGGGACAAGAATCTTAACCAGGTTCGGGTTCAGCGATTACTCTTAGATAGCCTTTGCCTTTTATTCATGTTGCCTAAATTGCTTTCTAAATGTATGAATTAGAATACTTCATTAGATATTAATTGCTTCAGTTAATACCCAAGCTCCGTAAAATCCCCAGAGTTAAAAATTAACATTTGTTATGGTTTTAATGTTAATTATGCTCTAAAGAATAAAAATATGTTATGAATAATTTTCAAACATTTCATTCCAATAGGTGGGAGTTTGAAGAATCTGAAGAAGATCCAGTGACAAGTATCCCATACCAACTTCAGAGGCTTTTTGTTTTGTTACAAACCAGCAAAAAGAGAGCAATTGAAACTACAGATGTTACAAGGAGCTTTGGATGGGATAGTAGTGAGGGTACTAATTCTCTTATAATGATAAGTATTTGCAGTAGTCAAAGGAATTCTGAGAGACTGTATTATAAATAACACATTAACATCTTTACTTTAAACCTTTTCATTGCTTTTTGGTTGGTGTTTAAAAATAGCTTATTTTTAAAATTTAAACTCCGAGGCATAAGTTTTTGATCCATTAAAGCTATCTTATTTTAAAGTTTGGTTATACTCTTTTTATGTACTTAAACTACAGTTTTTTAAATGTGTTAGCTTAGATTTTTATTAACGTATTTCTTGACTCTATAGTGAAAAATAATAAAAATGGCAAATATTGTAGCACCATGAAGCATATGCTACTTATAGAATGTTGAGCTCTCTTGATTCTTTTTCATACGATTGCCTTTTTATGACTCTAATATGTATTTTGTGTTCTTTTTAAATCTAGCATTATTTTGTGTAGACTCCTGTATTTCTGGCAATTTGCTTTTAAACAACAAACTAATATTTCATTACACTAAGTTAATAGCTCTTTTTAATTAAATTTTATCTTAAAATAGCCTGGCAGCAGCATGATGTACAAGAACTGTGCAGAGTCATGTTTGATGCTTTGGAACAGAAATGGAAGCAAACAGAACAGGTAATTTATCTCTCAAGTTGAGGGGAGTATTTTCTAATAAATTATTAATTCCTTAAAGTGACTTTATTTTATTGGAATGTTTTAAAACTTGGGCATTAGTCCAGTTGTTAAAGTACTGAGAGTTTCCTCATCTTTAAGGAAGTTGGGCCCTGTGATCTAGATGGTCTCTTTTTAGCTGAAAACTGTGTAATTCGTGGGGGGTGGGGGGGGGGTGATTCTTGAACAGCATTTTCAGATAGATGCTAAGTAAATTAGGTGTCTTCTCTGTAACACATAAGGCACACATTGTGAAGTGTACTCATCCAGCGTTACCTTCATTTTGACCAGTGAACTGTAGTTATGCTTTTCACACGCAGTGAAAATGAGAGCTGCTCGGTCATGTCCGATTCTTTGCAACCCCAGGGACTACGTACAGTCCATGGAATTCTCCAGACCAGAATACTGGAGTAGGTACCCATTCCCTCCTCCAGGGGATCTTTCCAACCCAGGGATCAAACCCAGGTTTCCCGCATTGCAGGTGGATTCTTGACCAGTTGAGCCACCAGGGAAGCCCTTTCACACTTAGGATCCTTGTTAATCTGACCCTATTCTTGTCCAGTGGAAGGAGGAACAGATTAAAAGTGAGAGAACTTTAGATGTATCACTGGAATGAGGCCTAAGGGTGAACTGGATGAGGCTTAGGACTCATTACAGAGGAGGGTTTATGCTAAGTGTAGTGATAAAAGATCATTAGAGATAAAAAGGAAGAATCTGGAAGATAGCCAGGAGAATGTACTATCTGATCGGAACTATTCTGATGGCTTGGACTAGAGTTTTTCAAACTAGATTGCAATCCATTCATTTATGAAATTAATTTAGTGAATCTACACAACACTTTTTTTTTTTGAAAAGGAATAAAATAGAAAAGTAGAAGCATCATATAGTAAGGGTAAGTATTGTTTTATGCCACTTTTGTTACGGTTATATGTGCTAGGTTGCAGTGTAAATTATTTTCTTACTGTGGGTTGCTAGCAAAACTCTGAAAAATGCTGAATTGAAACACTTAGAAATGTCCTCTCAGAAAAGACTCAGATATAGCTGGAGCAGGTTAATGAAGAAGGCTTCATTAAACAAATAGTATTAATGTAGACAGTTATGGTGGATCCTGGTTTGAAGGCTTATAAATCCTCAATACTTGAAGAGGTATACATTTATGAAAGAGGCAAACTATGATTTCCCTCTTAACCTATTCTTACTTAAGAAATACTGAAAAAAATTTACATTCATTTAGTTATCTAGATTCTCTACATAATCTTTAGGATTGTATTTTTGTAACCTTATGCAGATACCCTTTATCCTCATTAACATCCCTTTGTGGGTCAACAATTTTAAGACTGGCTGGGGCATTCCTTCTGAGTTCCCAGGTTTTGGTACAGGAATCTTGAGGCAAGACATTCACATGAAGGGTCCTTAACCTAGGAGTTACCTGTCTCCTTTGGCTCAGAATAGCCCCCAGTTGACTTAAGTTTGGGGAGTAGGTGAGAGATTCATTCTTCTTAGGTGAGGCTATCTTGAGGGAGATGGAGTTTAAGGTTTCTTTTTTAATTTCTATTTGTTTAAAGTACAGTATATTTTTCCTTCAAATTATTTTATGTGCATTATTGAAAAAAGTTTTATTTGTATCTTGAGATCAAGGATATGATTTCAGAAATCAGAGTATATTATTGTGAAAATAGTGATATGTATATGTAAAGCTATAGAGCCAGTTATTTAGCTGTGTGATTATCAATATGCCTGAAATGATGGATTGTGAAGTATTCCCATCCTAATTAAATATAATATAGGGCTTAGTAGTAGTAAAGTTACTTGATAACTGATTTCAAGAAAACATTTTAACAGTGGGATTTTTAGTGATATGAGAATTGAAATAGTTCATTTTTGCACATTCCTAATTTGTCTTTGTTAAGATCTGATTTTTTTTTCTATAGAATTTTAGATTAGGTAAATCTTAAAGCTTTCTAAAACTTCAACAGTAAGAATCAGTATCCTTTTGGAACTCATTCTGAAAGGCATAAAGTATTAGCTGATTTTAAAGGAGCCCTTTAAAAATTTGAATGTTCTTGTTTTTAGGCTGATCTTATAAATGAACTGTACCAAGGCAAGCTGAAGGACTACGTGAGGTGTCTGGAATGTGGCTATGAGGGCTGGAGAATCGACACGTACCTTGATATCCCATTGGTCATCCGGCCTTACGGGTCCAGCCAAGCGTTTGCTAGTGTGGTGTGTACCTTTCCGCTGACTGCTTGTGTATCCATACACAGAGTACATAATAGCACAGTGATATAACATATCCTAAGGTAAGTATCATCCTAGATACACCTTCTTGGGTTGATAGTCATTCCTGCATTTAAACTAGCAAGATCTAGAAGATTTTTGACCCTTCAGTGAGTCCTAATAGTGCATGTTTAAGAGAAGAAGTATATGCAAATGTACTGCCTCATGGCTCAGGCTTTTACTCTTTTGTAGAAGTGACTAGATTATTTCACTTGTCTTTGTTTAAACCTCTGTAAACAGTCTGTTTTATAAATGCTACTTTTTAACATTTATTTTGGGGGGGCCTTGCCAGGTGGCTTGTGTGGCCTTAGTTCTACCAATCAGGGATTGAGCCTGGGCCCTTGGCAGTGAGAATGCAGAGTGCTAACCGCTGGACTGCCAGGGAATCTCCTATAAATACTGCTCTTGTTACTTTTTTTTTTGGAAAGTACTTTTTTGTTTTGAGAGCACTGTTTTGTTCCATATACTTTTTTTTTTTTTCCATTTATTTTTATTAGTTGGAGGCTAATTACTTTACATCATTGCAGTAGTTTTTATGGATGAAACTGGAGCCCATTATACAGAGCAAAGTAAGCCAGAAAGATAAAGACCATTACCGTATACTAACACATATATATGGAATTTAGAAAGATGGTAACGATAACCCTATATGCAAAACAGAAAAAGAGACTCAGATGTATAAAACAGACTTGTGTTCCATATACTTTTGTGAGAAGAATAACCTCTAGTTACTAAGACAAACACAGACTGTATTTTTTGAAAAAGCATTCCTGTTCTAAAACATAATTTTAAAATGACCCAGCATTTTATAAGCACAGATAATTTGAAGAATCAGAATTATATATAATTAGCTTATTTATATATCATCAAATTGGGTGAATTAGGTTTTCTCATTTCTCCTTTTGTTCTCTGTTTTTAACTGCTTTTTTGTAATTTTATTATTGTATTTTAGCCTTACATTTATGTATTTAATTGCTTATACAAAAGGAGAGTCATGGAAGGACTTAAATTGACATTTAAAATTAGAATTTAGAAACATTTATTCAAATCTATTATGAGTCAGGGGAAACTTTCACAGCTAAGTTATCTGAAAAAGTCAAATTTCATCATGATGATCTTACTTATGCTACAGTCAGGCTGGTGGTGGCTTGTAGGTAAAATCAGTGCTCTTAAAACTAGTTCATACTTTAGTCTCTAAAATAGCATTTCAACTGTGATTAAGTAGTCTCTAGGACTACTTAATACCCTTTGCTTTTTTCTCCTATTTTTATATCACTGTCAGGCAATAACAGCAAGAAGTTGTGGGATCAGTCAGTGGGAATCCAAAGTAAAAGGCCGTTCCGAGATAGGGGAAGATTTGGCCTCCTCTGCTCCATTATTTTTTTTTAAGTGCATGTTTTTCTTTTTATTGAAGTATAGTTACTACACAATATTATGTAAGTTATTAAGTTACAGGTGTACAATATAGTGATTCAGCTTCCTGAACAGATTTGAAAAATTCTGTTAAGTACTTAATAATACCCTTGGTAAACTGCCATTCTAGGTATATGAGATTGGCCTTGGCTTGAGCGGCTAGTTTTATTTTTCATTTTTGTTTTGTTTTTACTTTATTTTGTCAGTTTAAGGTAGAAGAGACATACTGAAAAATTAAGATTTATCTTTCAGTGATTTATCTCCTAACTCATTTTAAAACTTTGGCATTTCTTTAAGGAAATGTACTAGGAAAGTGTTCAGTAGTCCCAAGTGATGTACACTGTTTTTTCTACTTTATTTATGAAAATATTTTTTATGTAAGATTTTTCATGCATATGTTTTGTTTTTTTCTTACATATTTATTGAATTTTGAGGAAGTTAGTTTTATTTGTGTTATGTTGGAATCTAATATTTGAGTATTCAGCAAATATAATACTTGGGTATTCAGCTATAAAAAAAATTGCTAAATCTTTTTCATTATTTGCCTGCTAATTGTTACCACTCTCCTCAGTACGTTACAGACAGAGCAGTGAAGTGAATTGGAGGATATTTTTGGAGAAGTGAAAAAAGTCACATTTCTGAATGGAATTCTCCAATTCTATCTTACATTGATATATGGATGATGGTGGTGGTGATTATTCAGTGGGAATTGAAAATTACAGCTATGAAGCAGGATGTAACAGGTTTATACACACATGCGCTAATAGGGCTTGCAGAAGGGAACCTAAAACTTGCTAGATTTTGCTGGAGTCTCTTGAGGGAAATTACAGCAGGTGAGACTACCCAAGATAGGGGTTCTAAGGAGGATACTACCTTCAGAGAACTTTAGTTAGAGGTAAGTGATTTCCCTTTATTTTCTGAATTCAAACTTAAAACCTACACTTACTAAACTGCAGAAATCACCATATAACATCTAAATTTAGTGTTATATCACTGCTTGCCATTGTGTATTTTGTTAGTGCTATGTGTTTTAAAAAGAATTTGGTATAAATGTGGATTATAAATAGTTAAAAGAAGCATTATAAAATCTTGTTCAGACTATTATAATATTTGGCCTTAATTTAAGTTGAACTCTTTTAAAATTTATTTTCTTACTCTTACTAATGGTCTTGGTATATTTGCCTTGTTGGCTATTTATACATACATACACAAACATACTTGACTCCATGCACACATATATACACACATATACTTACCTTCATACACAGCATTGATGGTTATGTGTTTTGCATATTACATATTCTGTTTACTGAGCCACAATACTATAGTTATGCGTATTCACTGTGGTTAGCACTTGGTATTTAATTTCAGATCAGTAAGTATGAAATTCTGTTAAAAATAAGAGGTTTTTTGTTTGTTTGTTTCTTAACTTCATCTGCAACACCCAGTTTCTGAATTGTTTTATCTCCATGTTTAAATAAATTAACTTGAGAGTAATATTTAAAATTAAATAAGAATGGAGTTGCCACTTAGTTAATTTAGCATTATAACATCTATAAATAACTTTGGTTATTTTTCAGCATGATTGATAGCAGACTAATTTTTAAATAAGTGCTAAAAATTACCTATATAGTTTTTTAAAACAGCTTTTCATCCTAATGTTTTCTTTATTGAATTATTTCTTAGTTGTTATAACTGTAATATTTATTACGTTTCTAGTCTCCAGTTTATCTGTCCAAGTAGTGTAAACGATTCTGCTGTTCTGTCTCTCAAATTGAGTTTTGTTCAGCACTAGTCTCCAATAGGTTTAATAGGTGTTTGGAAGAAGGCTTCTGATTAAATAAAATTGGGAAACTGTCTAACTGTAATTCTCTTTGGGAAGTTTACAATGCACATTTAACTTTAAATGCCCTCCGTGTTCCTGTAATAGAGAAATTAACCAAACTTTTCTCTGTGGGACATCTGTTAGTATTTCAGAGGATGCTAGGATTCTGAGGAATATATTCACAAAATATTCTAGGATATTTTGTGAAGCTCTGCATTAGATTAAGCTGATTTAAGGAAATATCTACTTTGTTACATTAACATTTATGTCCTTGTAATATTGAAGGGAGTGACAATACGAAAATAATATGTTTCTCATTTCCTGTTATTTTACATGTCTTGTTATTAATCCTGAAAAAATAATATCAGCCAAAAGATTACTTGTATTAATACTTTAAAAAACTTGATTCTCACTGTTTTGTTAGGTAATTAGAACTGTCTACATAAAATCAGTCTCTTCAAACTTTATAATCAAAGAAACCTTGAATCTGCTTATTGCCAAGCATATTTGAGAGTGTATTATTTTAAGAAGATCTAAATGGTATAATCTCATATGTTTGACATTAACTAGAGGAGAGCATTATACTTAATAGTAAATTTTAAACACTGTCTTCTTATAGGTAATTTTATTGAGTTGCTTATTCAGTGGTAGGTACTATTCTAGGCCATTTTTATTAGTATAGTTTTATCCTCTTTTGGGGTAAGTATATTTAAATATTCATTTATTATGTAAAAATGTGTTCAAAAGTCTAAAACTGGATTTGGCTGTATGGTTCCTTGTAGTGTCTTGGGAAAGATCAGATTAGGAGAAAGACCTTTGTTCCCTAAGTAAACACAATTTAATGATCATTTAAAGTTTTGAATAGAAAATTGTTAAATTCATAAGCATTTGTGAAATCATAACTGTTCCAGATATTTAGTTTATATATGTTTATATCATAAGTGCTACCCTGATTTAACAGGTAATTTGGACATTCTTATATGGCTGGGTTGGTCACATAACTCATTTGGTTGGTAGAGTAGTCCAGATTTGTCCAAATGTGTAAGCATCACATAAAGAAAACTCTCTTCCATGGACTCTACCCTCATTTTTCCAGGAATTTGTGTGGTTGAACATAGTGAGAACCAATTTAAAAAGTGGGGACTTTTGCTTTCAGGATGATGGAGTAGATGTACATTGCCCTATTCCTTCCGCTTAAACAACTGAAAATCTTGAACATTATATATAAAATAAGCATAAGAAGACTCTGAAAGGTGGAGAAAAGGCATAAAGACTAGGGACCTCAGGACTCAAGGAATGACAAGGGGTGAGTTCCCTGGGTTTTCTTTTTGCCTAATGTATCCCAAATTTGGAGCTGAAGATGCTGGCAGGCTGAAAGTAGCAAGTAGCACAAACTAATAAGTCTGCTGTCTCTAGCCCAAAGACTGGGGAAAGGACAGCCTGGCAAGGCAGAAAACTTAGCCAGTAGCTGCTGTGCTGCAGCCAGACACCGCCAGGAAGACTGTGGCCCTGACCCTAACCAGTGTCAGCCAAGGCTGAGCAGGGAGTCTCGAAGTTGGAACAAGGTGCTCCAACCCCCTGCTGGGGTGATTTCAGAGAAGACTGACTAGGAGCCAGAAGTTTCTTCCCTCCAGGGCAGTACTGAGCCTCCCCACTGCCGTTCACCTTTTACTGTGGTTAATTGTTGTTAGATACCATGTGGGGAGCC